TTACATCTCTCCATCTCAATTTCTTCGATTTTCTTAATTCCGGCTGCATCAATGATGAATAAATACATCGCAATCAACGACGCTAAATTTTACGGTCGAGTTAGTCTCCTGTCCGCTGAAGGGTGCGGACCGTGCGTTAAATTGCGCGTGAAACGAATATGCGAAGCGCAGCCGCTTGCTGATCCGTGAAAAAGTAACCTTCGCCGAATCATGCTGTCGTTATCTCGAAGAAATTGCAAAATCGCATATCTAATCAATACAATCAACGGTTGATTTTGGAATTTCCGTCTTATTCAAGAATCTCGTTTCCAAAGTTACCGAATCGAAACTTAAGGTCTGTTTTCTGTGGCTGAACTAGTGTAACTTTTGAAACTTGAAGTGAGATAGGTATACGTTTGATATTTGTTGAAAGTGAGAAAGAGAATGCTAGTGCAGTCTAATGCAGGAACAGAAAACAGATTATTAGTGTCTGAAATTATTTAAAACTTGAAAGAGATCCGAACATTAAAAAGTTATGCCGCAAAGTCTCTCTCAGGGGAGATTAACTAATAAAGTATTTTTCTCCCCCTCAGGCAATATCGCGAGAGATTTACGAAAGACTAATTGTGTATCTCTTTAAATCTTCCCCTTCCTCCTCTTGTAATTGCTTCAATAAATATATCGGTCCTCGGGAATTTCGGGAGATTTCAGCCAAACGTCGCGAATTTTTATTCCACGTCTCTCTGGAATTCCGTTGGCGGAAATTTTACGCGGAAAACTTGAAAAAAAAAAGGCGCGGTCTCTAATTTAAGAGCTCCCTAATCTCTTCCGCAATTAAAGTGCTACGCCACGTTCGTGAGAAAATTACGCGTAAAAGAATTCTCGTTAGAGTTCGTTCTTTTTGCTATACCCTGCCATCTCGTTATTCTCGGTCGGCGTTTCAACGTCCACGCCTCTTTTTTAACCTCTTGCTCTATGACGGCTCTTAGAAAATTCAACAAAGGGCCTGAGTGCTTAGCGCTCGAGTGAAACGGGTCAAACGTCGCCATACAAGAGTGATGACGTACGAGATATAATCGTTTTAGAACCACTCGCGCGTTTTAATTGGCAGCGGTGCAAAGATCTTTCATACCCGCATACGTGATTGTCTTCTGTTGCAAAAAAAAAAAAAAAAATTCGATCACAAAATACAAATAAAATGCAAATTGCTCGTGGAAGAAATGTCATTATTGCGCCATTAACACATCTAATTAACGGGATGTTTCTTCGATTGTATCGATTGCCACTTGCGAAAGTACTTGAGCCTTTTTTTTGTAAGTTTTATCTCCTTACACGTCTACACAGTTTACGCTAGTATTATATATTTTAAAAGAGTGTTATATACTTTATTAGTCATATCATAAATGTCACAAGTAGGATTTAATTTTAGGAGAAAGTAAGCGCTACGCGTGTGCCGGTCAAAAAAGGGAAAAAAAGAGCATTGAGTAAGTGACTAAAAAAATTAACAATTAAAAGTAAAATTAAAAAAATAAATTCGGATGACAAAGTATTTAAAGCAATTTTGTCCTACTTCGTTCGCAAACTGTAAAGTATATTTCTTTGTGCCGCTAAATAGAATTTTCTATAAAATTTGTAACTCTTAAAACGAATTCTCTGTTTCCTTTTTTATTTTTTTAATACTTCGTCACCCGTGCAGATAGTACACTTCGATGAAGATAGTTTGATAAAAAAAAGCGGTTAAAAATTTCATTTGCTTATGCTAAAAATGCGAAATGAGTGTGGAAAAGTAACCGAGAAAGGGAGAAATAAGAAATAAATGTAATCTACCAGTGAAAATCGACCATGGCACGGTTCTCGTGTATCGCATGAGAGAGCGGGCAGTGCGAGTTGTATTTTTCATTATACACATATGAATCCGGTCTTTGTTTTGCCGGTAAACGATTCCCGCTGCGATGGTTTCCTTACCTTTTCGGACACTTCGCGAGGTCCTTTTTCAGTGGCCTCCTCAGTGTCCCACGATCAGCATTTGCCCGTTAATCTCTCTCGCTCTTTCTCCCGATCAATCGATCGATCTTATCGAATCGACCATCTCTCTCTTTCTTTATATCTCTCTCTCTTTCGCTCGCTCTCTCTCAGATTTTTCAATCGACTATTCAGTACGAGTCTACGAGTCTCGCTCTCTTTTCTACCTTTTTACCCGGTCTTTCTTTCGCGCAGAAGCTCTCTATGGAACAACAGGAGATCTGCGTGAGACACGATCGTATTTTGCAATTGTCTTTCTTTCGTTCTGCTTTTGTGCTTTTGGTTACTTTCTTTCCCATAGTAACCGAACCCAACACAACGGCCAGATCGTCCAATCAGCGGATTTTCCAGCTCCTTTGTATGCGGTTCGTTTACTCGTCGTTCGACGACTATCGCGTTGTTTCGAGCGCGTCCACCCCTTCAACTTCGCTCACTTTGCATTCGGAGTCCCACCAACGTGGATCTTCCCTTTTCTTGTTTAACAAGACTGATTTTTAAGGATGCCAGTACTAACAACGCGGATTTGTAGCAAGCACTTAAAATACGACAGCTCAACATGACAGTTCTGAATCCACGTTGGCAAGCAATCCTGATGCGTCTCTCTTTTTATTCGCTTTGAGTATTACGAAGATCCCCGAGGCGGAAAAATCAGCAACAATTTTGTCATCCGGTTTCTGAAATTCATGACATGTTAGATTTAAAGATTTGAGAAAAGTGTCTTTGAATTGCAAAATTCCTGCTTGAAAATTTACGTAATTTTATTTACGCGAAACTATCGCGAATAGAATTCCATTGGTGTAGTAAATCGACGAGTCAATCGCAAAAAGGTCAGGCTTTCAAGCTTTAATTGAGCCATTAAAGTCGCAATAAGAAGGCCTGCTTGATCAAACGGACGCTATTATCGAACCGGAAAAAATCCGAAGGAGTAATCACTGGCCGTGATTCAAGAATATAATCCTATTACATCCGAAAAGCAATATAACGACGACAGAGGAAGATGTGTTATCTTCTCGGAAGCGATTACTTTTGCGTCGTCCTTTTGAGCAGTAGCTTTAAAAACGTAACAAAAAATTGCAAACGAAGTCTTCCCGTCAGCTGTATCAAGTTTTATAGAATGATTATCGATGCAGTGAAATAAACAGACTCTTTCGTAGAAAAGATTTTCTCAATTTAACTTTGTTCTCGATTTTCATCCGTAAGATTTTCTCCATTCGCGCGCATTAGCGAATGCAACACTAAACGATGCATTTCGAAGACGCGGTTGCCAGCTAAATGAAGCTAAAACGATGGTTTACGCGACGCGTACGAGATTGGTGCAGCCCAACAAGCTGCTCCAGCTGCCATGAGAAGATAATTAATCGAGTTGTTCAATTAGGTTGTTGTTGTTTGATATCAGCATCGATGCAGCAGATGATGCGGTCGTCGCGTGGTCGGTCGAGAGCTACAAAAATTGAACGCGGTAATCAAAGCCGAGAGCTGGCTGTATTATAAATGAAAATGTTTGAAGATTTCTAGTGAGAGAAATTATTTCGCTGCATCTATATAGGTATGCGTCTATACGGTCACTTTTAATCGTTAACTACATATATTAATAGAATTCAGAATTCTGCACGACGTGCTTATATAAAAAAACCGATAAAAGAAACAAATAAATGCAATCATCAATTCGAATAAAGCTCAAATTAATTACTTAACCGATTTAAATTTACAAAATTATTTATTAATTTATGAAATTGTTTATATTATACTTAAGCTATACTTCTACTTATATGATAAAAGTACCATTTTGACAAAACCGTTATCACATTTTACCGCCTCGTTTATCTTCGATCGATTCGACAGAGCTTATTAAATCAACTATTGTATATGATAATCGAACGATGAAGCAAAGATAATTTCTGAGCTCGAGACACATTGGTGGAAGGTGCAGTTACGATTCCTCGCATGAACGAACGCACTGAATGAATTAAGGCCATTTCGCGATAGAGAAATAACGAAAGAGGAAAGAAAAAGACGAATATATATATATATAAAAGCAAATCCGTCTCGCGAGAGGATCGTCGCGCATTGATCGCGACGAGGACTTTCTCCCGCGTACCGATTTTCACCGGCGAAGTGACCAGCCAATCGGGAACGAGAATTTGTGGATCACTCGAGGCCCTCGAGCAGAGATCAAGCCCCGCCAATCGGCAGCTCGCGCGCCACTCGTACGATCCACGAGTGGCTATCAGTCAGATTGATCCAGGCCACGAGAGAAATCTCTTTCTCTCGAACCCCTGCGACCCCCGATGATCGTCTCCCTCCCTCTCTCTATCTCTCTATCTCTATCCGGTTTCTCTTCCTCTAGCCCGTGAAATTAACTCGCGTTTCGTTTAATTATATTGCGATATAAATACTTCTAGCTTTCTTTTTTCGAATAAAAGGCTCCGTCGAATCGCGATAACTCGATGTAGACTGTCGATAACTCGAATCGTAGCCGTTTCAAAACGGTCGTGTCTACGATCGCGTCGTCAGTCTGGCATCTCGTGCCTTCGATCGCATAGCGATTTATTCTAGTCTCTTAGATTAACGACCTTTGCGTCGCGGGTATCCATCTGACTTCTCTTCATCAACGATATTATATATCAAAATGTAAATTCGCAATAAACAGAGATTTTTCAGAACAATTTTTATTAACAATAAAACTTCATTTATTTTACGACCAATTAATTCACCCGGGAAATTTATAACCTCAGTGGACACTCGGGACTCAAAGTGCCGGACTTAAAACTAACAGGCGACCACTGTTACTCGACAAAATTTGAAAACGTACTCAAAGAGACAGATTTATGAAGTCGTCATATAATCAAATGAATCGAGCTTTAGATCGTGGTCGCCATTTCACATCGAGAATGCGCGCATTCCGTAGAGGAATGCACCCACTCGACTTTCCTGGAAAAAAAACAAAAGATTACATCTATTCGCAATGGATATATAAGTATAAGAAAGTTCATGCACACCTCAATCTTTCTGCCCTCAACCACGGTGCCGTGTAGCCTCTCACGTGCCCGGTCCGCGTCAGCACTATTTGCGAATGTTACAAAACCGAATCCCTGCATGCAAGGACAGACAAAACAACATGCATTAAACTCAACTTACAGACTGCCAGCGCTCCGCAAAAAGCCGACTGGCTGGGCCGACATTTCGTCTCCGCGCGCGCGTACACATGTAACACGCGCGCGCGTATATGTATATATTTCATTTACGTACATATAATATATGTACATACTAGTGAGGTAAGTGATGGGGAAGTGCGGAGGGCGGGGAGGGGTGTACATACATGGAGGATACTCCGAAAAGGATACCGTCGGGGCGCAACGAGGGTGACTGATGAAAAAGAAAAAAAGCAACCCCCGTTTCGCGCTGCGACGATTTCATTTCGTTTATAATGCGGTAATAAAGAACGCGCGCGTTTCCGTCGATTTTTAATTATATTTTTACTACGTTATGACGAAAAAATCGAGAATTTTTTTCAAGTGCAAAAAATATTAAAATTTATCATTATGTCAAAAGATATAAATGTATAGCTTCGTCGCGTTTAACTGTGAACTACACGTGCGAGATACACTTTTCGACCATTTAGTTTCTTTTCCCGATCTTTGAACGGATTTTCGTATCGAATAGAGTTAATAGAGGATCGATCCCATTCTCATCGAAGATTGGACGGAAGACGCAGAAAGCTCGATTCTTCCGTTTCGCCGCGGGCAACACCGGCCAGCTCCTTTGTGCTCCTCTCTTTCTCTTTGAACCCTTCCATCACCCTCAGCCCTGCCGGCGTTTTCTTCTCCGAGCCGACCCTATTTATTTCTTTGACGCACAATAGCCGTCTCTCTTTCTCTCTCTTTCTCTCTCTGGACCGTTATGTATCGCGCGAGACATGCTAATTAATTCCTGAGGCTCCCTCGAGACGCGACGAAGCGACAGAAGCTTTCATGGATATCTCGTTTTTTGTTATTTTCCGTAGATCTCGCGCTTCTCTTATTCCACCGTTATCGCAAAAGTTGAAAGGAATAGCTATCTATCCAGTTATTCGTATCCTGTCATCCGCGCTTTATTATTTCAGAGTTTCAGGACAATACTCTAAGAACTCGCGCATTTAATGTCCAGAAATAAAACGAGAGTTGTTATAAAATCGGAAAAAAAATCACAACAATTTTAAACAATTAATCAGCGATTATTAAAAAATCAAATGAAGTCAACAGATATATATATATATACTTCAAATGTGAAGTTTATAATCGTATAATGGCTGTCTGGATCTTGCCATATTAAAATTATAATACGTGTATAGAGAAAAATGAATTAATAATCTAATTACAATGACAATAAAATTAATATCTTCATCTTGACTCAAAAATGAAAAGACTACAATTGACGGCGAGATATCGATTCTTACTTTTCTGGGCTAAGAGCTTAAAAGGGTTGAGAGTCGCTTTTAAACCAAAGAACTCACGGGGACATTCGCATAAATTAATTCCTCGTTACTTCAAGGGATGAGGGAGCACTGTTTCGAAATGTCGACGACCAGGGGGTCTGCGAGCGCCTCATACTGCTTACGGAGACGCACCAAACAACGTGCAACAAATAAGTAAATATAAAAATCATGGTAAGAAATCATGATCATGATCACATTAATCATCTCATTATCATATCATATCGTATCATGTCATATCACGGTCATCGTCATATCATTAAAGACTCTTGCTTGTATCGAGAGGTGCGTGTACGAGAAAAAAATAAACAAAAATAAAAAAAAACTTGACTGAGGGGTTTACAATTAGTCATGTAAGGGTAAACGTGAAGGATAGGAAGGACGTAGATCGATATCAAGTGTGTGTGCGTGTGTGTGCGTGTGTGTGTCACTGTCCACGTGTACGCATGTGTGGATTTTCAGTCGACGCTGAAGAATAACGGGAAATTGAGTAGGAAACGTAAAAAGATTAGAATCGCGATCGTTGTTGAGAAGGGGCGAATCCCTTTGTCATTCTCTTTTTTAGATTCAAAATATACGTTGCTATGTGTCACTTGGCGATACACTCAAAATTTCTTGAAGTGAAATATCACTCCGAGTGAAAACATTACACTTCTTGAAAATTGTCACTCTTTTTCAAGAAGTAAAATATTTTCGTTCTTTTCCAAAAGTTGCTGTATTTTCACTTTTTTGGAGTGAAAGTTCACTCCAAGAAATGTGGAGCGTATGAATGAAGGAAGGACTTGGTAGAGAAAGATCGATATACATGGCACGCTCCCACGCATCACGATTGCACGTTATCTCATGTCGCGGAGAACGCGAGTTCCACACGAAGGAAGAGCACGATCGATTGCGCTGCCACGAGGGTGTCCGTTTGCTTCGAGTACAGTCAAGTTTTCCCCCTAGCCACCGTAGATATTACCCCATGATAACCCGCTGTCGACTCAGTTGAATATTATCATGGCGTAAGTTCTCTCTCCCCTTCGCATTCATGAAGTCACCGGAATAACATCGAAGACACGAAGACACGAATACACGTCGACCACTATCATCGCTGTGACCTCGTTATTAATACTTTTGCAATACCTGAGGGTTGTTAGTTACGAAAAAAACCAAATAAAATAAAATACTAATCGAATCTCGCCATTTTATCGAATTTTATCAAGAAGCTGATGCTCGTAATATCAATTGAGCATGTATTTAAAAATGTATCAAGTATGTAATCTATAAAAATAAATAAATAATTCTAGTAACACGTGAAAATATATAACTTTCCAGATTTTTAGAAACCCGAATGCGTATAAATACGTGAGCAATCACGATAGTGTCGAAGAAAAACGATCGTGATTGATTGCGCCGTCATGATACGTCAATTTTTAACAGCGTTTCTCCGGATAACGTCACATCGATCTTATAACTTATATCATTCCCATTAAATATAACTCCACGAAATTTGTGCTTTGAATGGAGATAAACCGAAGTTTAATTTCTCCTATAATAGATAGAAATAGTTACGTAAACACAAAGAGCATCATTATTGGGTCAAAAATTCGCGTTATTTTAATTCTGCGATATTTTACTGCATGGTTCCGCACTGAAATCGGAGATGCTTTTATCGTTAAAAGGATTAGGTAATTGAAGTTTGGGCCGGAGAAAGCTAACAGCGGCTTCTTCATCGGGGTAAAAAAGGACGGCAAGATAATCGAGTTCGCCGCTCCACGTCATACGTTTCGTTCTCCTCGGATCACGGAGCTGTTGCCGGGAGTGGTTACGAGCTGCGGCTGTTACCGCGAAAAATCGCATTAAAGCCAAATCAAATACGGCCTCGGGTAGAGCGAAAACGGCGAAGCGCGAAGTTTTCTAATCAGTGGTGAAGGATACAGTTCGCTCTTCGAAATACCGCGGGAAATGCGATTTATGGGTCGGACGTGGCAAAACTGGAGTGAGCGCCCGCACGAAGGTCGGACCCACGATATTTCAAAGTCATCGGTTAAATCGGTTTAATCCGGCGTCTCTGTCCTTAATAATATCCACGCCACCGAGCACCTTGCAATATCTCCCTGTCTTCATAATCGATATTTGCCACTTATCGAATAATGGACACAGATTAGGAAAGTGAAGAAACGATGGAAAATGATTTTATGTAAGTTACATAATGGATAGACTCTTCAACAGTTTCGAGTATCTGGATCAATAAATGCGAGTATTCGACAATTTTGTTTTAACAATTATCACAAACGCGTAGTTAAATTATAGTTGGAGTCTCGTTAAGCTAACACAATGGGATATAACAATTATATATGTCAATTATTGTTCAACGAAAAGGACCGCCGACTCAAAGAGTTAACTAGATCCAAACAGACAAGATATACACGAGGGATTCCTTTGTAACCGGAAATGAATGTCGCAGGACAACGGACTGGCGCGAATAATTAATGATATGGTTGAGCCCTTTACGTAGCGCGGGAAGTTGACACAAGCCTAGGTTTTTTTCAGCGAACATCACTTAACTAAAAATTATACCCGATGACTCTGCCCGTAATTACGGCATAAACCTACATTTTTATTCAGAATTATCAAGCATCTGCAGAAAATAATAAGAACAGAAAATATGCGTTACATTTTTCGTCTATTGTACCGTAGAATAGTTGTATTATTGTATTTTAGTTTTGTGATAATCCTGTATATGTAAAATCAGACGTTCATAGAAAAAGCAATAATAATAAGATAAGTGCATTTTAATGATATGAACGATTATACAAAAATCTTACAAATTTTTGTCTTGTGATGAGCTGTTTTTCTTTTAAATTAATAAACGAATAAATAGATAAGAAGTAATTCTGGCAACATCTTGTATAATTGATTAGACTTAAAAGATTTTAAAAATTTTAAAATTTCAAAAATAATATCTCTCTCAATGTGCTTAAAATTCCTATCCTTCTATCTCTATCTTTTCCATCACGTACATAATTAAAAATGCTTGACATTCTGCAAAATAATAATCTTTTCTCAAGTATTTATTTATAAAATGTTTATAAATCGTTGTTATAATAGTGATGTTATAATAAACGATATTCAATTCGCAACTTGTGTCGCTATTTCTCATAACGCTGGTTTCATGTCGCGATGTCTCGAATGAGATAACAATTCGCTTGGGAAATTACTGTAATGTCAATGGTCGCGCCGCGCCAGACGTATCGATATTTTTAGGATTCATAAGCAAAGATACAGCACAAATCGCAACAGAATTTATTTGCATATTCAATGCATACGCAAAGACTTTTTCATCGCGCAGCTATGAATTCATTTCGAAACGCTAACAGTTTAGAAGAGCGCGTTGCTACCGAATTTGATTTCCCGTTTTGACAGAAAATTGTGGTGCGAAGAAAATGTAATATTTAAATTATTGAGTCCCATTGCGAATATCGCGACATAACATTAAATTGTAATATTCATTCGAGAAAATGTATCAAAATTTATAATCTAAAAATTTCGCAAACATTATGCAAGGATAAGTCTTGTCTAGTATTAAAATTTTAATAATTTCTTTAGTGAGTCTGAATACACACAAATACGAAATTT